TATATCATTGTTTTCCATCTATCATATCCTACAGCCTTTACTACTAATACTACTGCTGCTACTTTTGGGATTATGAATGTTAAATACATATTGTAACATATTGTAGATACATACAATATTATACACACATAGTGCACAGTCCCTGTAGTACATGTACTATGTATTGCATAAAGTTTGCAATACTTGTAGTAGGCAGTACATAATAATGACTCAACTACTGCTACTAATAGTACTTAATAGTACCATCAATATTTCTTCTTTCTTTTTCTAGTTATTTATTTATCAGCCTATTATTAGGAACTTTATGTTCTATATATATGTTAAACTGGCTTCCAGCCTGTCGAGAAATATCAAGTGTTTTCATATTCAGCTGACCTACCATGCACGGACTAAAAGACAGTCTAGGTTACACTATGAATCCAATTAACTAATTAACTGGAAGTAATTCAATTGAGCAGTGTCTAAATTTCCCTGTATTGTATGTATATATATATATATATATATGTTTTTGCAATTTGACTTGTTTTGGAGGCACAGTTTCAGATTTTGACAACCCCTGCCCCTGAACTAACAACAAAGTATTCTAACAGTCTACCAGACACAGGCCCAGGGGCCCCTCTGGCCTTCACCTGCAAAATGTCACTCAAATTAACACGTACTGACCAGGAAGATTCATACTGACCACAAAGACACACAAACAGACCACAGAGGGATGCAAAACAACTACAAAGAGACACAAAACAACCACAAGATGACACAAAATGACCTTGACTACCGGGAGATAAACAACATCAACAAAAAGCCAAAACCACCTCAAAGTCTGTTTGTCCTGCTCATACGTAAAACAGGTGTTGGGGCATTGAGTTTCCTTTGCGTATCTGTGCCCAGGTGCCCTTTGTCTCATAACCCACCCATGCTACCAGTACCTGTGCTGCAACAATTTATATGCATTTGCTTATGTTTTCCTGTTGAGCTCTTGGCACCATATGCTTTAATGTTTAATTAGGATATTATATTAAACTATTTACTTTTGGCACCTTAAATCACTTACCGATCATCCAAAACTCCAATTTCATCAGACTTGGTGCAGATAAAGTGGATGCGCTGACACTCGCCACCATTTCCGATGAGGCTACAGGTACTTTTCAGGATGTCCCAGGCTTCATCCTCTGCTGCTGCTCGTTTCATTTCAGTCACAATCCACACAGTAGAGCAACTTCCAACAACCTGAAGGGACAAAATAACAAGTTAATAATGAATAATCAATTATCAGTGCTTTGTAAAAACCACTGTTAAGTTTCCAGATAACAGAGTAAGACACAATAAACAGCATTACATGTGAATAAATTACCCCTTTCCACATCTTGTCTCTGCTCTTGTTACGGTCCCCATTTCCAGGAAGATCCACAAGTGTGACATGCTGGAGAAGATCATTGTTAGGCACCCTCACAGTCACACACTTCACCAGGGGCCAATACCACATCTTTACTTCTTTTCCTTCTCCATCGCTTGATTCACTTCTTGTGTATTTGACTAATTTTGCAGATAGCTCTTCAGCCTGCAATCAACAATACAATCAGATTAAGGCAACGTAAGGTGCTTTACAAATTACACAGAAGAATTACAAGAGGATAAGATAAAAAAGGAGAGCAATTAAAAATCACTATCACTGAAACTAACAACAAAAGAAGAAATATAAAATTAGTTACATAAATAGGCCTAGTAATAAACATGAAATGGAGACAAAGTCCAGTTTTGGGTGACACTGACCTTTTTTTTAAGTTTATTTGCTCTGTATGCAACTTTTTTTTACCAGAATTAATCATTTCTTCATTGGTGAACCGGTTTTAACATAGGGGAACTTAAAAACTTTCTCCATCTCTCTCATTGCAGAACCTTTAAATTCAAACAGCCAGATATGTAGAAAAGTAATGCAGCTCCCCTGAATTTCATGTTGACCCTTGACATTCTGCAGATCCCAGTCTGAAGACATGAGTGTTCTTGAAGGTTCATATGGATATACCATGTTAGGAACATAATAAGGTCCTAATCCCTTTAATGGTAATATTTTAAAATCAATTATCTGACGAACAGGTAGAGCAGAAATAGGCATAATGCCTTTATTTTTGCTTTTTATAAAACTGGTGGCAGAAGGTTTAGTCGCTTTTGTAATAGCTGAATGTGCTTCAGATCATGCATGAATATGCCTTTTTCCTATTTGGACACGAGTTCTCTAACTCTGGCTATAATTTTCAAATGATAAAAGTCTGATACTGTAATTAATTCAATATGACTGCTAAAATTTGGATTCAAGTCTGAGTACCCAATTTCACTTGTCTTACAGTTTTTAAAGACACAGGGTCATGGTGCGCAATCATAAGTCTTTCATTATGGCCACCAAACACAATCACCTCAGTTCTGTCTTTATTTAGCAAACCTATGATTTGCTCAATGCACTGACAGTGATTCAGTGAAAATGTGAAAGAGAAATAGATTTGTAGCTCTGCTCCCCATGGTGCTGAGCCGGGCGGGGGGCACAGAGAGGTGGAGGGAGGAGGACGACCTGAGGAAGCGAGAGGGGGTGGCGATGTGGAGGAGATCAGACAGGTAGGGGGGGGCGAGGTTGTGAATGGCCTTGAAAGTATACAGAAGGATTTTGTAATGGATTCTGAATTTGACTGGAAGCCAGTGAAGCTGCT